GCAGGAGCAGTGTTAGTGTGGGGTTGTCTAAGTGAGAAGAACAACCTCAAAGGTTTGAGTAATAAAATCTCACATGAAAATTTTAGGAGTCTTGTGTTATAGCTTGAAATCTGGATGAGAAACTTATGGAACAATAATACAATATGAGTATTTAATGCACTAAGGGTGCTTACAGGTTTGAAGTTTCTTATTACAAGAAGACCTAGAAGACTCAGATAATATATCGATACTTTGTCCTAGACACGTTACCAATATCCATATGCCTTCGGCACCACGAACTCCACGTTGGCATCCTCTGTCTTCTGCATCAGAGCCCATAGAGTAATTTCTTAGAATTACACATTTTTTTCCAGTCAGAGAATCTCCTAGGTAAGTTTATCAAACATGAAATATTCTGCATTTCAAATATTGAATAGTAGCCGAGGCAGCGTGAAGTATTCTTTTCAGAGAGTGAGTGGAGAGCGCCCTCTGGTGGTGTTGCATAACAACTGAAATGCAGTGTATTTTTATCTTCTCCAAAAGGAGTTTTCACACTTCCAATGACCCATTTGTACAATGCACCACATTAGGACATGCTGTTTAGGTTGTTATGTTACGTAGGCTATCTTAGGAAAAATTTTAATTGGGACAGTGCCCCATTAAGAAACAATTTTTATTTAAAAAGAATCACTGTGGGTTGTGACTATGGCCCTTCCAAATGGGATCGCTTAAATAATCTGATCTTGGCTCCCAATTCTTTTCACTGCTGATTCGTTTTGTTTTGTTAGGGGGTGGAGGTGGGGCTTGCGCTGTAACATGTAGACATTGGTTGGGATGGGGTTCTAATGGAACTTGTCAAATCTCCTCCAGCAGGTTCTGGGAATAACCATCTCGGATGCTCAGGCATCTGATCCTAGGTGAAGACAGAATATTGGACCACATGACATTCCAGGGCTCCTTCCATTTTGTTCTCTGTCAACATTTCCTGGGCAATCGGATCTGTCTCCCCATTAATGCTGCTCAATATTAACAAGCAAAAGAAAAATACCAACCTCAGAGAAACAGTGAGCAGGAGACACCTCCAGAAGGCTCCAGTGATGATACCATACATTTCAGCCCCTGCTTTTTATTTTCCAAATTCTCCACCATGAGAAAGTTTATGATGGCCAGAATTAGGATTTATTATGATTGTTTTAAATAGATTGCTCTGGGCGAGTGACAGGAGGGAGTTTAACACAGAGCTAGCTAAAGTAATATCTGGACTCGCTAATGAAGATATGTTGTACAGAGCTACTTTCATGAAGAAATACGAGAATTGGCAGGGCCATAGTGGAGGTAACTATAACCGCTTGAATATGTGACCTGGGCCGTTCCGGGTCCCAGACATCGAACACAGTGTCTAGGTATCCATAATGGAGTCCAGGTATCCAGAATAATGCAAACCACCATTTCATAATCCGAAGATCCAGCACCTGACCCACACTTCCTCCCTAGGCCCAGACAGCCATCTAGTGCCCAAACCTCCCTCCCAGGACCCACAACTCAATCTTGTGGGCACAGGCCTACATTCAGGTCCCCAACCTTCAGGCCCCAGCCCCAAAACGCCATCTTGAGGCCCAGACCTCCAACTCATTGTATAGACATTCATTGGGGTCTGGACATCCACAGAATGGAGACCACCTCTACAGGATCCAGAGGTCCTGCCCCCACCCCAAACCTTCTCCCTGTGTTCAAGGTCTGGGCCACGGAATGAAAGAAGTGATCACGAAAACCTGACAAAGAAATGTATGACATGCCAGCAGTGAGGCCATGTTTCTGGAGAAAGTATGGGGAAACCAGGAGGAAAGGACCACATGTCAATAATACGTGTATTGGAACCAAGTCAGACTTAAACGTGGTTTGCTTCCCTTACACTCTGCATCTGCAGTATTGTTGCCGCTGGAGTACTTAGGTATGGGTCCAGTTTTCTTGATAAAAATACAAAACAAACCATGGCATTTGGGGTGTAAGTAAGCACCCCAAGGTTGGAGTTGTGCATTAAAAAGGATTTGTATAACCTGGAGCAGGCAGATAGCCACAGATGCCAAGCAGCTTTTTGACCTTCAGAAAACAGCTCACGTCTTCAAGAAATGTTGATTAATTTTAGAAGCAAAGTACATATATGTATCTTAAAGACAAGAAAATTTTAAGTGGAAATTGTGTTAAGTAATATCTCTAAGAGGCAGCCTCAGAAATACTTACCATTTTCTAGGAAACCTAAACCAAGTCAGAAAGTGTGTGCATGCACGTGCGCGCATGTGTGTGTTTGAAAGAGAGAGAGAGAGAGAGAGACAGAGAGAGAGAGAGAGAGAGAGAGAGAGAGAGAGAGAGAGAGGGGGGGGGGGGGGGAGGGAGAATTTGGAAGGGTAACATATGCTGATTTCTAGACTGAGGATGACAGAAATTATATTTAACACCAAAACCATTCTTTTAAATTTCAATTGTTTCTAGAAAGCAAAGCAGACAAGAGAACCTCATAGAGTTTGTGTGAGGAAACAAAATTAATTTTATGAAAATAACAAGAAAACAGGGGCAGGACCTATCACAAAATGATAAATTGTCACGTGAGCAATTTTTTTGAGTTAGTAGCCTAGCAAGCAAAAGCTTCACATAAGGCTCCTATAAAAAGTTTATGCAAGAGGCACAAACAAAGGCCTGGTGCAAATGCAGGGCTCCTTGTACAGGATTCTGGGGCTTCCTATTATCCTGAATGGGATTTACGTTTGCTCTTTATTAGGAAAAAGAAACGCCAATTCTCACAAAAGCATACTGGACTGCCTATGTTTTCGTTGTCAGGTTTTCCTGTCATTCAAACACTGTAACTTCTTTCCGCCAGTGGAGCTCTTTGGAGAGGACAATGTGGTGAACTGTTTCTCTACATCAGCATGTGGGTTCGGCAGCAAAACACGCTGGTATGTTTCCAAACATTAAAAAAATTCAGGCTTTCTTCTCCAACGACAGTTTAGGGAATCCCATTAAAACACCAAACTTGAGCCGAAGCCGGTCTGACTCAGGGGCTAGAGCGTCCGCCTGTGGACTGATGGGTCCCAGGTTCAATTCCGGTCAAGGGCATGTACCTTGGTTGTGGGCACATCCCCAGTGGGGAGGAGGGGTGTGCAGGAGGCAGCTGGTCGATGTTTCTCTCTCATCAATGTTTCTAACTCAATATCCCTCTCTCTTCCTCTCTGTGAAAAATCAATAAAATATATTTTTTAAAAATACCAAAATTTAGTATCCCCACCCTAATGCTACTAAGGAAGCACCCAAAGGAAGTGGTGAGAAAGCCTTTCCCTCATGTTCTTTGATGAAAGAAGTTTTCCACTTAGGCCATCTTCCACAACCTTTTCTCTCTCTCCACTGATTCTATTCCCTCTGCCTTCAAATGCATGCTTTGTATCCTTAAAAAGTTAGCAATGTCATAGGAAGACACTAGTATAGACCCAAAGGGCTGCTTTTTCCTGGTATTAGGAGCAAATCTATCTTGTCTGATTGCCTGTCTGTCTTATTATCCAATCCACCTTCGGGAGCAGAAGTCCAACAGGGCTACTGTTCTCCCAAGCAGGGTGGGAAGCTAGACTATAATAGCATTGCAGTAACTTCTTTAGAGAAGCAGCTTTAAAATAATTGTAGTAACTTTGATAACCCCTATAGCTTTTCTACATTGTAGCACATTATTTGTCATTTTATGTATTTTCCCCGTAATGAAATTAAAAAAATAGTAAACAAAAAACCATTTTTTTCTAATTGCTGCATTGATTACATTTATCCTCCCTTTCACTCCCGTTTCAAACAAGTATCGTAGTATACTTCAAACAAGTATCGTAGTATACTTCAAACAAGTATAATATTCAAACAAGTATAATAGTATAGGCTATACTGCTTTTTTTTTCTTTTTCTTTCTTTCTTTCACCTCTGCAATTTGGTTGCACCTATTAAAAACTTTGTCTATAATTTCAGAAACTTTTTATTGACCTGTCTTCCTGTTTATTAAAATTGTTGTTTTTCTGCCCCACTCGTATTTTCCTGTTCTCTCAGCAGTCAACATGCTGTTAGGCCCCTCCATGGCTCCCTGCCTCCCCCCCCCCACTACCCCCCCTCCACACACACACACACACACACACACACACACACACACACACACACCTGGTCCCACTCGGCTCTCCTCAGCCGCCCGCATCTAGAGGCTTGCGGAGCGCCCTGCACAGTCCTGGGGCAGGGTGGGGGTGTGGGGAGCAGCTCCTGTAAAGTTTAGTAACCCCGTGTCCGCATTGGGATTTGGCTGCAGGGTGAGTCTGCCTAGGCTGGATGGAATTGAGAGAGAATTGGAGGCCCCCCCCCCCCACCCCTCTGAATGGTTGTGATGTGATGGCATCCCGGATAATTCGAATATTCCTCCATTATTAGTATAGATCCTCACCTGAAGACATTTTTCCTTTTGATGTTTAGAGAGAGTGAAAGGGAGTGAGGAGAGAAACATGCATTGATTGTCTCCCACACACCCGAACTGAGGCTCAGAATCGAACCTGCATCTCAGGTAGGTGCCCTTGACTGGGAATTGAACCTGTGACCCTTCGGTGAGGGGCGGATGCACTAATCACTGAACCACACTGGGCAGGACTCATGTCAACTAATTTTCAATTAATAAGAATTATAAAATGGTTCCTCCAAAAGCTCTTGAACACTTTTTGTTTCAGGGGACTTTTCCTGAGCACATGCAGTGTGTAATCTGATTTAGAAGCTCACACAATCCATGTCTGCGAATCCCGGACAATTCCTGATGCTGACAAAACCTACCTTTCCTTCTGCGTTCATCCTTATAGACTGAATTTACTTGCCATCTGTATTGACATAAGTTTGGCCCATATTTAGGTCGCCTGTATCTGAAAGATGTTAAAAGTATTTAGTATATGTGCAAATGGCCTTTTATGCATTCATTCAACTGAGCAATCACACAAATAATGAAAAATCCCAAAAACTCATCATAAATGCCAACATTATATTTTTATTTTTAATCAATTTTTTTTTCAGACCTCAAAATATCCATAGTTGACAGAATAAGACATTAGGCATGAAATGAGATATAAAACCCACGGTCTGCAGAAAGGCAAGCAGTGTGTTAGCCCATCGGAATGACGGTACAGAGTGAAGGCCATGCGAAACCTCTCCCTTTTTGTCCTTTAAAAATATACAGTTCACGTGTTTTGTTGCGTTTCACTTGTAAACATGAGTCAAAATGGACAACGAGGCAATCTAACGACTACACAGGATAATTTAAAAACACTAGATAAAGAGATATAGAAATCAGTGTTCACTTTGGTCTCTAGTATGCTTAGGGTGGTTAATACCAAAAAATAAAAAAAATAATAAAAAACACAAGAAACCCAACACATATAATTAAAGCCAGCTTGGTGGTGGGTGCCAGTGGTTGGTAGATGTAAGTAAATCAGGAGGTAGTCCCACACCATCGTGTTCAAGCTGGTAACTCTCACAAGTGTGAAGCCACAGATGTATTACCCATCGCAATAGTTTCTCACAGTACAGTACTCTGCCATAACTTTTGCAGCTTTGTTCCACATATAAATTTTAAAAACGACTCACTGGTCAACTTCTCACTCTAACTGAACTATCGATATGACACAGATCACACAACCACCACATCTTAAAGAGGCCGATGACAGCTATGTAAGACAAAATTAGATGCTTTTAACAAGTTGTTCTTCTCTAAAAAAAAAAAAAAAAAAAAAAAAAAAATCTAGGAAATTAACATCAGGGCAGCTGCACTTGTACATACTTTCCCAAATTTTATAACCAAAGGGGAAACAAACATATATATTTTATGATAGACATTTCTTAGAGAAAACAGATAAATTAACTTAAATTAACTTTAAGACTTAGTGAGATTTCCCATGTCCTGTATAATTCATCTTACAGTGAATGTTACAAAGTCTATTAACACTTATGGGCTTCTATTCACAAACTAAATACAACTAGCATTAACTTGGGGCCACATTGGTGCAAAACAAAACCGGGCCAGACTAATTAGAAAGAAATCGGCAATAAAAACATCCTGTTTTCGTAGGTGGATCGATGCTAATACCATGATGTTCACTGATCCTTTTTCCTTACATTGCACACCAAACTTGCAAGTTATAAGCAGGTAAAAATCTTTCACATCTCTCCATTGTAAAAATACATCCAAAGTCTTCTAGTAAAGACTAGAAATGCAAGTATAAAAATGCTTCCACTGTAATCTGCCATGTAGCAAATGGATAGCTGGGAGACCGGTAGAGCATCTTTCTTAGGAATGACATTTGTGCTGACATGGGGGTGAGGTTAAGGAGCCATTAGCTCACAGACCTCCTGCCAGTCCCTGGGCAACTCCTGTAAACAGATGCTTCACGCAGCCCCCACCCCTCAGTAGCTGGACATGGCACTGCACATCACTCCACGTCTATGCCTTGGCAAGCCAGTGCTAGTTAGCTGGGTGCCTTGGGCAATGATGCTGCCACATGCCTGGCCTCGGGGCAGCACAGACATAAACACAGGAGATTGGCATCTTTTGTGCTGTTTGCCCAGCACGAATGCACTCAGACGTTCCTTCCTGCCTCAGCTTCTAGGCAGAGCTTAGCTGTTTCCAAATTGCTTCTGTGTGCTGCGTTGCTTACGTGGAAGAGTGACCATCATTTTTTTCATTCTAAGTACATGATCGGTGCCAGGAAATGCTTGGAGACTTTGCTAACTAAATGGGATGCTCGATGCTTCATTATTCACAAGTGTTTGTCGGAAACATGCAGTTTGTGAATTGCTGTCTACGCTATGGGAAGGTTCTGTACCGGAGAATGGCCAGCCACTGGGAGGCTGGAGCAGCATACAGGTGTGCTATGCATCAACGATGAGGTAGCCTTTTGTTGTAAACAGAATTATATTTCACCCATGAAAACGGACACTGTGCTCACATCTGTGATATTCACATATACAAGGAATTCAGGAATTCTACGGTCGAGTACTTTTCACATGAAATAGAAACAGGAGAACTGATAAATTCAGAAATTTTGATCTACATCAAACAGAGGTAGTTACTACTAACATCAGTATATAACACATAAAGGTCAGAGTTATTTGGTTTGTTTTGAGTAAGCAGGACTGTAGACTATTCTGTAAAGAAACAACAACATCATCATCATATGGTATGTTCCCTGAGCAAAGTTCTTTGTCCTGAGTATGTTATGCAATAGTGATAATATTCTTATATAAAAAATAAACCCAACTTTTAATCACAAGGTAGGTTTGGTATGTGCTCTTAGTTCAGTCTGGTGAAATGCTTAGCACGATTTCAAATTGCACCCATAGGTCCACAGTTACACTTTTTTATTTTTTTTTTAAGCACGACCTCAGCTCTGCACGTTTTAATATGGAAACAGGGAATGCCCAATTCTCAAGTCCGTAACTTCTCTAAGTCCATAGTTCTCTAAGGTCAAGAAACTTTGGTTTGGATTTCTCAAAGTGACTTGTCACCGTTTGCATTTTTCCTGTTCACCGGCTTATTAGACCTGCTAAAAATTAAGCAATGCCACTTTGATTTGTCTACATAATTTAAATACGCTTACAATCCTCACGTAAGGCAAGGACGGACTTCTCTACAGCTATATCACATTCAATATCGTCAAAGGTAAGCGTTGCATCACAGCACACTGACATTTCAGAACATGCTGTGGGGATTCTCACACACACTGTCGTGGAGTTCAGGCTCAGCGGCGGGGGACAGCCCCGGGTATTTCTCCGTGCACCCGGCTGGCTGACACACAGCAACTGCACAGGCCTACATGGAAGGACACATGGGAGAGGGAGCGGACACTGATCGGTAGAATATGTCACATTTGAACTTCCTTTCTTTCTTTCTTTCTTTTCTCTTTCTTTCTTTCTTTCTTTCTTTCTTTCTTTCTTTCTTTCTTTCTTTCTTTCTCTCTTTCTTTGATTATCTGAGCTTATACCAACAGGCTCATCATACAAAACTATTTATTGTCAATGTTAAGCATTATAGTTGGTACCTTCTTGGAGATATTTCAGTGAAGTACCCATGACAACTATAACCAGGATGACACCGAAGTGACTGAAACCCACAGGGGACCGATATTAGGACTGTTCCCCAGCCAATTTACTAACATAACCGAGGACCAAGCTGAGAGGCCTCTCCGTCGCCATCACTGCGTGTTCATCCTGACTCCACCGTGCGGGCTCCTTCAGCACGGCGACAGAGGGATCTCCCCTGAGATCCAGCTTATTGTATAAAATCCTTCCGGCTCTCTGCAAGGAGAGGTTCTGGTACCTCTGGCCCAGCTGGTCACTCTAGCTGCCTGCCACCAAACACTGCACTTTCTAATAGAGTCAAGGTCATACATATTGGGCAATTGTGAGCATCAATGATGTCTACTCTCAACCCTGGCATTCTATCCGTATCTCTGCTGCTTTGTTGGTTTTAAAAACAAGTTAGGTAACTCTCCGGGGGGGGCGGGGGGGAGAATAAAAATCGTCACCAAAATATATACCAAACCGTTTTTCTCCAAGGTCTTCAGTAGTAAACAGGGAGGACCCCTGCTCGAAGTGACGGTCAAAAGGAATGACTCAGTCAAGGAAAGCTGCTGTTGCCAGAACCCCTTACAAAACCTCACAACACGTAAAACATCAGGAGCTGGTATCGAAATGCCTCGGCAAACAATCAAGTCACTACATTGTTACATTGCCCTCCCCCCTTCCTTTCTCTTAATCTGTATCTAGTTTACAATAAAAATATATGAATTAAAAACATTGAAACATCGGCACAGAAATTACACATTCATTGTCTTTTCTGGAAATAATGTATCCCAGATTCAAAAAGCTGATGGCAGTCAGAGGCATGTGGAGTTAAGGTACTGCCTTCAAAGGGGTGGGAGCACTCTGTGGATATCAAGAAAAAAGGCAATCCCAAACGTGGGGGAAGCGGATGCTTTAAAAACCGTTAGTACCATGTGATTTGGCAGCTCTGAGACGTGAAGTATCCTTTGGTTCACACAAAAGTAACAACCACGTTTTTATTTGTAAGTAAGGTAAAAAAAAAAAGGGAATGGCATTTCAAGAAAAACTCCAGGGACTATTTTTTTTTGAAACCATCTAAATAAAAATGCTTCCCATGAGTTTTCAATTGTTGGGGATGTCAAATCCAGTGAGGGAGGGTGTGTGCTTATATCCGTACACACACATATAAAGACACACTTTCTTTATATGTGTATGTCCCCCATTGCGATATAAATCCTCCTACACACACACACACAGACTCAGGCTCTCTCCCTCTCACACATGCACATATAGGTACACATAGTATCTCATTCTCTGAATCACATCACACATGACACTGCTTCAATGTGATTTGCTTAAGAGTGATTTGTCGGTTTTAGAAAAAATTCACAGTTCCTCAACAGTAGTTAAAAATCCCAGGTCAGCTGCTGCTTGTGAAATACTGTTCCCCTATCCTTGCATGAGGTAGACTTCCCAACCGGGGAGAGAAAACGATACGTCAAGAAGCAGGGTTATGTCTTTTTCCTCTTCTGGATGGAAGGCCCCTTTTTGCTTTGTTCCTCGGGGGCCGCTGCCGACTTCGTGGAGGAAGCTTCCTGCGGGGACCTGCCTGGCCGCTCTGCCATCTCCGACCTCGCCTCCTGAGGAAATGGGGGTGATGTGCAGCCGTGCCCTCCCCCCGCCTCCCGCGGGAGAGCCGCAGTGCATGGCTGAGAATCCGCTTCCTGTCTTCCCTGAGAACTGGCGGGCGGCTGCACAGCAGTTTTGAGCGGGCAGTTGGCCACCATGTGTGTGATGCTCTGACAGTAATGGCACTTCTTTGGCTGAGGAGGTAGACTACATTCCTTAGCATGATGATCAAGGCCACCACAGTTGTAGCATCTGCAACAAGAATAATGAAAACATCTTAGAAGTAGGGATTATGTGTCGTTGAGATGTTATTCATGTGTGTAAAGAGATACCCAGATACACAAACTGCCAATGAGGTCAGCTCATTCTCATGTGCCTTCTTTGGTGCGCAGGTGATGCTGTTCTTCAGACCATGTGCTTCCAAGGCCATCGTCACGCTAACACTCCCGCAAAGGCAGAGAGCCAGTTGTGCTGACACACCAGTCAGCGTAAAACGCGAAAGGCTGTGTAATCACTTCCATACAGAAATCACTCCTTTTCAAGATCTGCCAGGTTATCTTAAAAAACAGTTTGGCCCACTAGAGGGCAGCCAATGCTCAACAAAAGAGCAAACAGCTAGCTTTAAAAAGGATAAAATAAAACAAACCGATGAACAAAATCAATCCAGAGACAGAAACATGGAACAGACTGATGGATCTCGGAGGGAAGGAGGGGATGGATTGGGGTGTGAAGAGATTATATGCATATATGGACGCAGACAAGAGGGTGGTGAAGGCATGGAACGAGGCAGGCTAGAAGGGGTCGATGGTGGTGGTGGTGGGGAAGGGGACATATGTAATTCTTTCAACAATAAAGATAAAACAAACAAACAAACAAGCAAATATAGTTAAAAAATACAGCTGTTGATATAATATGCACTGGCAGTGCACTCAGCAATTGGGAAAATTATAGAGCAAATTCAATTTTATCTGCTTAACCTTTCTTTGCGTATTATTTTGACTTTGGAAACCAGTTGACTGGAATAATTTTGTTCCTTTGTCCAAATTAAGCAATGCAGGGAAATCTGATATGTAGGAAAATCAGATGTCTATGGCAAATGGTATCCGGCAAATTACCAAATAATTTTAGAGTAGTACAGTAAGTGTCTGATCAGAATGCTGTAAAATAAAGCTCCTAACTACTTAGGACTGGATTTTAAAAGGTTGATGATAGGTCAGAGATGGAAAGAATTTATTTTCTACTGTAAGAAATTAGTTTTCCTCTAGAGTAATTCTTTTAAATTGAAATAAACATAAATCCATCCTTAATTAGTGTTTAAATACACATTGGGTGCATAACTTTATATTAAATCTTTGAAAATTTGACTTAGCGTCTAAAAACTGAGCAAGTAAATTATTTTGAAGATATATTTGCTTAATTCCAGCCAAACTTTCTTTTAAAATTTAACATAAAAAAAAAACAACAAAACAGCATACAGTGGAGAAAATAAATATTCATAATTACAAAGATTTTTCATCTCCACACCTCCCAATCCGGCTTTTGTTGAGTATAGAATTTCCTTATTAATTTGTCTCCAAATGAAATGTTTTAAGGACTTTCTATTTCAAAATAAATTTATGACTCCATAATTCTTATGAGGAAGCACAAACAGGTCACAAAGATGTTTTGTTTGTTTTAATGGCAAAATAAGTGGCAACTGTGAGAGCCAGCTTAAGACTATTGACAAAAAAATAATTAATTGTAATTAGATTTGTCTGTGTGAGAATAGCAAGCTCAATGAGTTATTTTTACTATGCATTTCAATGACAAACTACTAAGCTACTACTAATCTACTGAGCAATATATGTAGAATACTTAGTATTTTATTTTTTTGGGTAAGTTACAGAGAGTGATTTTTACTTGGCAAAAACTAGGATAACTACGGTTTACTTCTCATCAATACTACCTTATAGATGTTAGAATAATGAATTCACAAGATGGGCTTTTATTATTTGCAATATTAGTAAGTATTTATCTAGGGGAAAAATACATCACATTTTCAAAAATTAAGGAGAAAACCAATACAGTACTTTTTTTCTGGTTAAATTATTTATTGTGTAATTACATACCTTCATATCATAATTACATACCTTCGTATAATAAAAAAAATTGTAATTAATACTACAATAAAGATTCACTATTGTTTCAGCCATGTGTTTACAAAGATAGTGCAAATTGAAAGAATAAAAACTGCTAATGCTTGAAATTCAGGTCCCCAAATTAACACACTAAAAAATGGCATCTTTCAGAAATGTAACCATATTACTTATAACAACGTTTTCCCATATTCTATAATAGATAAGTGGATCTTTAAATTAAATTTGCCCATCTATAAAATATCTCCTTTTGAATTAAATTCACTTTCTTGAGGAGAACATCCAGTTAGGAGCTCATTTTCGAAGAAAAGGAAAATAGGTTAAAGGCTTCCGCGACAGAGCAGGCTCTCCTGCAGACACATCCATTTCATCAGTCACTGTGGTGTGCACTGCGCTATCCAATTTAGAGTACCATTTGCCCACTCATTTACCAAGGGCCTGATGTCAAGATTCCACTTTCACAAATAGGGTCTTCCATCATATTCTGTATGTGCATTTACTGTTCCATTTGAGGTTCAAAAGTTATTTTGAAGGATACTATATAATTCTGGTTTCCTTGCATTTTGCCCTGCCTGGTTAATTCACCCCCACCCCCCAGCTTCTCAGATACATGCTATCCCTAAGCCAGACTGCCTTCCACCCAGGGAAGATTTGCATTTAGTGTATATATGCTTAGCCTTCAAAGCGGAGGAGCGGTATTTATTCTCCTATTCTACTTAATCATTCAGTGTCAATCACTCCTACGGAGAGTGCAGATCACACTCCATTATAAAACCTTTTTCCTTCCCAAGGGACTGACACCAAAATGGAAATGTTCGGTTACCTTTCAGCCCTCTAATGATACCAGTCCACATACCCCACAGAAGCTCTCCAAGGCACCAGTTTCCTTTGTTCCCTCTCCACACCTCCCAATCGGCTTTTGTTAATGGGAATGAATTACACTGGGATGTAGGCATAAAACCGCCATGCGTACCCATCTGTCCCTACACGCTTAAGACATATAGGGCTTAGCAAAAGTAAGTTTACAGCTGTGAGTGTGAGGAATGGTTTATTCTTGTTTTATTATTTATTTGTATTATAACTGCAAACCTATTGTACCTTTGCTCGCCCCTGTATAAGGACAGACTCAAAAGCGAAAGGCTCACAAGCAAAAGTAGCAGGAACCATTCCCTGTGTGTGTTCCCATAGCCCAACTAGTGTTAAGTATTTTACTAAACGATCAACCAATGTCACAAAGGATATTTTGAAGATAAAATATTGAAGATGAAAATAAATTAGAATGTTCAGATTAATCTTAGAGCTTTATCAAATTCTTCATAAAATTCCTTTGTATTTTAATTATAATGAGCTAGCATAGGACGTTCTTATTAAGTTACTTCTTATAAGATACTTAAAATGGAAACTAGATAATCAAATTGAAGTCAATTTTTAAAAGACTATCAAAATAAGATTAAAATTTTAAATGAAAGGAGAATGCCAACAATAGATGTAGAAGCACCTAAATGGAAAAGAAATAAAAACAGATCTTTTGAGATTTATATCTTTAGGAATATCAATTACATTATGAAATAACTGAGTTTTAATAAACTAAGCCCAAACACCTACTAAGTTAACCAAAACATAGCCGAATTTTTGAGGATTCCATAATAAAAATGGAAACTCTTATTCAGAAACCAGATCTGCTAAGATACTTGAAAAAATTACCATTTTGGGGGTCCAAACTAAGTAAATTATATTTAAGTGACTCCATAATGGTTAGAACTGAGCTCAACTAAAGACCACTAGATTCTATAGACATTACACAGAAACATTGGTTCTTAGATGATACCTCAATAGCTTAAATGAAACAATTCATTTCCATGCCAACACAGACTGGGAGGGAAGGGGGAAAAGAGGAAAGGTTTTATATATCTTATTTCCTTACTGGGAATGAAACTGTAGATTTTGACAGAATAAAAGCCCACAATCTTTTACCATCAGCTAACCCTGCTTATTGTGGGGGGTAGGGGAAGGGGGAGCAGAACATCGCAAATCTACTGAGTTTAGCTTCAGAAGTGGTTTCTCTTTTTCTTAGGCCATTATTCAATTCTTAGTTCATCAATCAAGGATGGGTTCAATGTAGGCAGAATGGGTGATAATTTACAGCTCTTGAATCGATTGATGCTTTCTCTAAACTTCGACCATCATTGCCAATGAGCATTCATTGATTTCCCATAACAACTCTTTTAATTCTCTATCTTTCGTTGCCTGCATCTAAAACAGCTCTCAAAAGGATGCATATTTGTTTAGCATGCAAAACCTGAGTTTAGCACTGACATAGCCACATTCTGTTGGTTCTTAAGTAGAAAAATTACTTTCTTATGGACATAAATATAATAACAAGATCACGGCTTTTAATAAAATCTATTAGCCATGGGGTTTTTAAAAGCTCTGCTATTTAAACTACATATTGCCTAAAAGAGTGCCACTGATCAAGTAACTTCTGTGCACGCTTTCCTATACTTAAAGAGGAAGCAAGTCTGTAATAGATGTCTACAACCCTAGGTTTGCAGTATTAGCTTTAAAAAGCAAAATTTGGACCCTACAATTGCCACTCAGTTCTTTCTGGTGCAAGATAAACTGGTAGATGTTTGGATGGTTCTGTGTTGCCTAGTTCTACTCACAGTGCTAGTAAGCAAGGACCAGTCTGTGTTGGCATGGAAATGTGCTTTCAAACTCTAGAACTGCTGGCAGTGGAAATAAATACTCTATGTCTCCTCCAAACCTCAATTTTCAGATCATTTACTAAACTGACTTGGGATCTGTACTGAGTTCAAAAGATGCCTTTTCTCTTTTCAATACTCCTGCACGTCCCTCCTGGAGATGGAGCCCACAGCCTGGGCATGTGCCCTGACCAGGAATGAAACCAATGACATTTTGGTGCATGGGATGATGCTCAACCAACTAAGCCACACCAGCTAGGGCCAAAGGGTGCTTTTTCTTAACTTACCATTGTTCTAATCTCATTTATTATCTGGTTCTATGATGAGAAATTATCGAGATATCTTGTCTGTTAGTGGATTCAAGTACTTATAATGCCCATGCAACCATTTTCATAAGTTCAAATGAAAAACAGAA